GAATCCCTCGTCTCAGTCACGTCAGAATGTACAAGTCATGTATGCCAGGAGTGATGGATCAAGAGGGGGGCCCTAGGGAGGCTTCGTAAACTCTGACAAGATCCCAAGTGGATGATAAAAAACACAGATGGTGTTATTAAAATTGCCAATTTCGGTATATGTATTTTAGAAACTGACAGACGTAGCGAAGCTGGGAGGCTTTCTGGTAAGTCCAGTCCTTCAGTTGCTCGAACATAAAAGTTGTCAATAAAACTAGCTTTCATTAATTTTACTTCACAAAAATAAATTGTTTTACTTTTGCTGTACACACTCTTTTAGCCATTCTACATTACTGATGTTTTTAAAAGTTATAAGCACTTATGAAATTAATGAGTGCAAAGCTTTAAAAATGTAGTTCGCTGTAGAAGTTATGGACGCAGGTTAAGTTTGAATGAGAAGTCCAAAACAAAAATGTTCCTTCACTCAAAATTCAGGAAACTTAGCACTGATGCATGATTAAGTCGTTTAGTTTCCATTCAGAAGCAAGGGAAGGCAAGGCTGATGATGCAGCCTCAGTAATTATACAAACTGAAGTGACGGTGGACTAGGTTGAGGATATGTGATTTGATATGGTGAGGCAGTGTTATGAGGAATTTGCTGTTTTCGATGTTAACAGGTTCACAAGTAGAATTGGAGGTCAGCGAATCGTCCAGAATGGAGCGTGCGACATGCAGGCCTTGCTACCCTGAATCCAATCGCGATGTTAGCCACTACCCTAAAGGCGAGTTCTCTCACAATCCTTCCCATAGGCATTGTTTGTGTGCACTTGTCCCTTTGATAAACCCATTAATAGTGGGAAATGTCGATTTGTGTGTTGCACGATTCACTTAAACAATCAAATTTGTGCATTTGAACTTGTAATTTTGCTAAAAGGCTTCAGTTTTGCTTAAACCAGCCACAAAACGGATCAAGCATGCCAAATTTGGGTGTCTTTGAAGTTCGTTGAAAAGAAGAGTTGATATTTCACATCAAGTGTTGCACTGACTGACATTCTTCTTTTGTTGTTAACTCTCATGTCCGCCATTTTTAGTGTCGGATGAATCGCACCACGCGAATGTGCCGTCGTCGCCGCCACACCTTCACAACCAGAACGAGCCGTATCGCTCCACCGAATTCAACCATCATCGACATCAAACGCCTGATCGACAGGGAGAAGCAGCAGTGGGATCGGCTGATGGATCGGATAAAGCTAGATTTACAGGTAACACAAAGTAATCAGGACCTTTTCACTGATCATTTTAAAAACACGTTTAGGTCACATAGAATATAAATGTTCTCTAGATACGCCAAGGAGTACAACATGCCCTTGTTCAGAAGACTTAAAATTGTGACTGACTTCTAAAATTGGGACGAAACCAGGAGAATCTTCCAAAGTGATTCTAATGCATCTTTTGATGAGGTTCAATCAGCATTAATTTGCAGTGAAGCGGCCAAATGAGAACCAGCGTTCCTGAGTTAGAAATCCTGTGGGTAAAGACCCACATTTTCTTGTAATACTACACATATTTCAAATAGGTTACTTTTAAAGGATTTTTTTCTTGTTTGGTGGATATCTGACGTATGAAATAAGCGCGTGTACAGACAAGTGGTTTTAAACAAAACAATCCAATTTTCCAAGCCAGGACTTAATCACATTTAGTTGGATGCGGCAGACCTCACCTGCAAATCCCGCCTGAAAAACCGAGTTATTGTTCGGTTATAGGTTCACACGTCGAAATAGAGGTGAGTCAGCCATCGGATGACAAAATTGCTGCCATCTGCCGTCAATGTCCATACAGGTCTGACGATGCCAACCGCGACTATATCCACTACCCCGGAGGTAAGCCCCGCTAAAGGTCTTTTGTCGTGCTAAGAAACAACAAGGCTCACTGGATGAATTAATCACGCGTCTTGACCGACAACGGCACATCTCTCTCGTTAGACGGCATCTCCATGTCATGTCAAGAGCCAAGTAAATCGATCTCCTTAATGTGGCAGCAAAGGCCGTCGTCATTTGCCGACATCTTAAATGTGTTCTTCCTGTCGATTGGCTGTTGTGTGTTGACTCCAAAACCTTGAGTACATCAGAAATTGTCTTGCCTGACCAATCAGAACGTTGTCGATCCTGTCGACTAGTTTTAATCCACCAAGGCTTGATACGCCGAAATGGGGCATAAAATCTTGAACGTCTCATTTCCACAAGATCGCCACCTTGGGTTTCAGTACGCGCAACAATTCGTCACGTGTTACTGATTATCAATAATTCTTGTTGAATTGGAACCGAATGATTGTTGTACAGAAAGGTGTGCGTCATCAACGGTAACTCATTATCACTGCCCCGAAGAACACAGTTAGAATGAAATCTGTTTATGAAATTCAGTTAACGCCTCAAAATGAAGAACATTCGAGCGATAACAGACAGGGCTTTTATTAATCACCTTAAGGTTAGTTTCGTTGACACGGGGACATGGTAAGGTAGGAGGGTCCAACCAAGGCCAACTTCTGATCTTCTTGATCGCTTTCCATTTTCCATCATTATTGTGTTTTGTTAGACGTAAGCATCAACGGTACTAGGAGACCGAAATTTTAGCACTGTCTTATGATCAACCATTCAAATGCCCAGCTGTAAGGGAATTTTTACATTACACAAACACACAGCGACAACTAATCGGATCTCAGCACTTGTTCAACATGCCTCAACTTTGAACTCCCAGCTGCTGTCTGTCGGAGACCAACCTTGACCCTACTTCATCACTCTAATGGCAGACCTATTAGTCATCAAGTTGGACGATTTCTCATGTGTGTGATAAGAGCTGTTGCCGATCAGTACGCTTACTTGAGATGGGCTCATGAAATTTCACGTCCAACTAATTGTTTCGAGTTCAGGTTGATAATTTCCGTTTCTCTTAATGCTCAGTAAATTCTGTTTACTGGTATTACTGCCGGTAGTACTCATGCATATAAATCACTCAAAAACAACAAGGTCTTGTGGATAAATAAACCCCATGTCATTGACGTTTATTCGCATTGTTAGTACGTAGGTTACTAGGGTCCAAGTAACTTCTATTCCCACACGGGGCATCAGTAGTCCCTATGGTGCGTCCACAACCCTCATGAAAGTGTGTAAGAGGCATTGAATCAAGCTCATCGTGTTAATCAGGCCAATGTCCTAGTCACTAGACCGTCGTTTAATACTCAGGGAATGAGATTTCAAATAAAGTATTCAATGTGCTTAACAACCACACTGGAATTGATGTAGGATTGTTAGTATTGGTGCAGGTTCGGACTGATTTCCTCAGGTAGACCGCAAAAAATCCTAAAACTGACGCCATCAATTAGGACGTCGTAATCTACTTTGGTTACTGTGTTTTTAATTTAAGTTGTGTTTTCTTTGTTGATCTAGCGAACAGTGCCCGTGCGCTGAACAGAGGTGTTGGTGAGTCAAAAAGTCCCTGTGTGCACGAAACCCGTTTCGCAAAAGCTTTCTTTTCCAAAGAATTTGTTTATTTTAGGTGCATTCCTACTTGTAATCCTCACAATCATCAAGTGCCATTACTAAGAACTACAGAAATGAGTCAGCAGCTCTGCTCTGCGATTGAATCTGCTTTGATTTGCAAAACAGCTATCTATCTCGATTTTTACGCTTATTCTAGCTCCTGTGAATGCAAGTAAAGTTTCAATTTGAACAGTTTTACTGATTATTTAAACACTGATCAGAGGGAAGAGAATAGTTCAAAAAAGGACATTCTTAAAAGGTACAGCTTAAAACAAATTAAGTCTCCGTACGAACTCAATTTTAGAAAAATATTTTCAAAATGTAAATATTCTGTAAAAGTGCACCGGGAAGCTATGAGGTCGTGGTGCAATGCTATGAGTTTAAAAATACAACAACAAACGGTGCTTCAAATTGCAGAGGCTGTCCATATTCTCATTCAAAAACGGCTCATTTGTGAATATCAGACAACAATTATTTGCAATAACTTTACTGAGGATAAATATGATAAAATACCATATGTTAAAGTGAGCGGAGAGAGCCAAAGTACATTTGTGGATCTGGATTAAAATTGGTGATAAAAAAAACTTAGCGATACATACTGATGATCAGCTGTATATTTCTGATAGCGGCATTAATCAATTACATATTTTTAAGAGTTCTGATCTAATAAAAATTAAAAAAAAATTGAGATTAAGAAAACAAAAGTAGCACCAAGGCGATAAAGTCAGAAGGACACATTCGGAACACTGACTTACGTACCGAAATGACATAATATCCATAAAAAATTACTTGAACGTGACTAAAAGGATCCCTTTAAAAAAATGAATTTGGACTGACAGAATGACGAAAGTGCGCTACATCAGAAAAATAAATAAATTACGACAAAATACGGCAAAATTAAACTCAAAAGACATTTTCACAAAACATTCACACAAAAAATTTAAAACATTTATTAAAAAAAATAAGAGGAAATATAAGAAAAACAGCAATAAGACAAAGCACTGAGTCATGAGAATCGGAGGCTCCTGTACGAAAAGCGGTTAGTCGCACCCACGTACTAATCATGCGGAGTCAACCGTACCCACATCGAAGGTCCCACCGAGATTCGAACTCGGGTCGCAGGATTCAAAGTCCTGAGTGCTAACCACTACACCATGGGACCATCATTATGTCCTCTAATATTGGACATCACCACCAATCCGCCTCCGCCTCCTCCCCTACCTCTCTGTCTCGTCAATCCTATTGTATTGTTCCTCTTTGCCACCTCCATAGGCTCTTTCTACCAGTGAGTTAGCAGGCGTCGTGATGCTCACCTGGCCACCTCATCACCATCACGAATGAGCACCAAGTGTGTCCGAACGCCTGTATGCTGCTGCCGGTGATGATGACGACGACCACGACGATGAAGATGCTACTGCCAGAGCCTTGAGTGCTGGTGCCGTGAGTGCCACGCAGCCAGCGACACGCGCCGTGGCCTTGTGGCCTAATGGATAAGGCGTCTGACTTCGGATCAGAAGATTGCAGGTTCGAGTCCTGCCAGGGTCGCTCCCACCTTTTCCGCCTTTACATCCACTTCCATTCTAATCGCCGCGTCATCGTCGAAGTCGTTGTCCTCTTCGCACACCACGGCCACACTTGTCATACAGCGTCGTGCCTGAGTCTTGAAATCACTGCTCCCTCCTATTTGTACACACCCCCCACCCACTCACTCACTCATCCACTCACTAGGGCCTCTCTCGCCCTACCAAATCCGCATGTTCCAGCTGCGCCTTGCATGTGACAGTGGCGGTGTCGGAGGTGATGTTTGCGGCATGACGTTGGGCAAAAGACGGTGTGCTGCAAGCACTAGTGGCCAGAGAGGGGCTCGAACCCTCGACATTCGCGTTATTAGCACGACGCTCTAACCGACTGAGCTATCCGGCCCGCGTCACAGCGTCACTGCCATCTCACCTCACCTCAACCCACTAGACCTTACCTTGTCTCGCCTCGCCTCGCCTCGCCTCGCCTCGCCTCGCCTCATCGCGACCTCAACGTCGTCGTTGTCATCGTCAACGTCGTCTTCGCGTCGACGCTGCTGCTGCTGCTGCTGCCACCGCCACCGCCACCACCGTCATTGTCGCCTCCACCTGTGCGCTGCCCTAAGCCTCGCTTATCCCAGTCTCCTGTGTCCACACCACTGAACCCCATGGTGCCCCCTCCTCCTCCCTCTTATTCCTATTCTCCTTCCTCCTCTTCTTCTTCCTCTCACTGTCTACAACTCTCCATTTACCAACCACTACCTCTATGTTCACTTGCGTGTGTGTGTGCGTGTGCGCGTGCGCGTGCGCCTTCTAGGCAGTATGTCGTGATTTGGCTTGTTCAGCGGACGCACAGGCCTCCGTAGCTCAGTGGTTAGAGCACTGGTCTTGTAAACCAGGGGTCGGGAGTTCAATTCTCCCCGGGGGCACTTGCTTTGACATTGCCGCCCTTCTACCGCCCATCCTCTCTCTTCTCTCTACTTTCTACACCCAACAATCTTGCTGCCACATGCTGCGCCTGCCTGACTGCGTACAGCATTTCCACCGTTTGACAGCGTAATTCGGCCTACCAGCAGTGCGCGAAGCAATTGCCCTAGCCACCGCTGCCGCCACCGTCCATGCGGATGCTGCAGCAGCAGCAGCAGCAGACACCTATGATGCGCTAGCTCGCACACACACCACCTGCGATTCACTGCCACCACCAGTTGGCGACCACACAGTCGCGCCTTGTGTTCATCACGTGGAGGAGGAGGCGGCGTCGGCGTCGACAGCGCAGGGCGCGATGCGACATGTACGTTGGCATGTGGGAGTGGTTGGACGATAGTTGAGGGAGGACATGATGCGTGGCACACACGTGTGCCTCCGTAGCTCAGTGGTTAGAGCACTGGTCTAGTAAACCAGGGGTCGAGAGTTCAATTCTCTCCGGAGGCAGTCCTCCTCTTATCTTCGTCGCCCCCTTCTTCGTCTTCTACAAACATGCGCACAAAAGTCCACTTGCCCTTCTATCGATAGGCCTCCTGTCGGTTGATGCGTGAATGCAGGCTTCTGTTATTCACAAGTCTAGTGTGCGAAAAGGGGACGAGGCGTGGGGAAATATGCCGCGTGGATGCTGTCACGTGCGAAGTTACTTCGAGATTTGCTCCTGTGGAAGGTGACGACAGTGGTGACGTGAAGTGTCGTGCTTCTATTTCTGCCAGGTTTTGGAGAGCGGTCAGGATGTGCAGGCGTCGAAGGCGCGGCGTTCAATTTGCAGTCCACTTCTGTGCCAGTCCACTTTCGAATGCCACTTCGGATGATTGATGTTTGTTCGCCTGTGCCCCATTTACTCTGCACCTGAATGTGCTCTTTCTTCCACGCACACACACGCATTTCATTCTGCACTTCACCGTGTCCTCGCATTAACATCCTCCACGTCCACGTCCTCGTCCTCCCCTCACTTCAGTTGATTCACTGTCTAGTCACTGACTCCTCGACAAGAGACAAGGATTACCAGCAGCAGCAGCAGCAGCAGCAGTAGTAGTAGTAGTAGTAGTTGTAGTTGCGGACAGCACAACTCCACTTCCTTGTTTGTGAGTGTGAATGGGTGGGTGGGTGAAAGTGTGAGGATGTGGTATAACAAGTGATGACTCAAAGGGGCGTGCACAGCCACGTCGCCGTAATAGTCTAGTGGTTAGGACATCGCGTTGTGGCCGCGAGAACCCAGGTTCGAATCCTGGTTACGGCAGTTCACCACTCAGTCGGTAAATCCCTTTTGCTCTAACACGCAACACCACACGCCGTGTGAATTCACCACCAGCCACTTAGCGATTTTTTGAATCTGCACGCAAACGTTACTTACTTTTTCCAGAGCAGTTCTTACATCATTAACTAGGTTTTCTTTAGTATTTAGTACATTTCATTGTATTTATTTCCAGTCGCTCTTTTGTCATCTGGTGCATTGTTGGGTCCTATTTTGGATTTGTTTGTTTCATTTAAATTTCGCGCGAATTTTAGCAGATTAATTGTGGTTTAAAATTGACACCCCCGATTACCTTTGCAGTATTAAATATGAACAACCGTCGAAATGAATCAAGCCAGACATATCACAGAATTTGGCCCTGTATAGGCTTAGTTTTTGTGCATTTGTGTGTATTCGGTCATAGTTACGTTAATTTTTGCCTAATTAATTCGTGAATTTTGGTCCTCTGCGAGCATCTATTCGGCAAAACGATACGTCGGGAAGCACCCACAGAATGAACTTTCTACTTACTGCTCATCGGTAAGAAGTCAATTGGTAACGCGAGAAAATATTAAAGTGCCTTGTGTGATGTTCAACCTGAACTTGCAAATTAACTGTACAAGAACTTGACTTCCCTAAGTGTGAATCAGTCAATGTCTAAGCCCTGAAAACGGTTAAAAAGCATTATTTTCCCGAATGTGGGCTTTTGTGAACTTGAATGGAGGTATTCAGAATTAATCGGACAATTTTAGTGAAAATCGAAGCCTCAACTTTATGTATAAAATGAGTGTCGCGGTTGCCTGCAGTGTTCTCACCCAAACTTACTACTTAAATCCCATATACGCCGTTTACTACAGCTACCACCGAAACGTTTGAGCATGGATGAAATCTCGATGTTGACATCAGGGATTGTAGGAGCCGAGGTATGGTTTTCAATTATGGACACGGCCGGGCCAGGAAAGAAGAATGCGCAAGGCTGGATCGATTTGCGGCTACAGCAGGCGTGGGTTTAAATAGGAACGCCGGACATTCGACCAATCAAATGAACGTCGCTACGCTGAGAGCATTATAGATTATCGATTGAATTCAAGTTCGGTCGTGCTTGGTAAGAGCACTTGAGACTGATCTTGAATATACTGAGGCCCCTCCATGAGATCTTCAACCCCACCGGGGCCACTGCGTTGGATCTGGTCTGATTGCTCTACACAGGTACCCGATATGATGAAGAAGACCTGAGATGGCGGAGACACTGCCTAATTGCTGTCGATGTGTCATTTATGTGTGTGTGTGTGTGCATGCGTGTATTTATTGCTCAGAATTGTGACAGCGTGAGTCATAGATGGGTCAACATCGAGACCTGGGGGTGGGGTTTGTCATTAAACGTAATTAGAACCCAAGATAAACATCCGTGCTAATTAGGTGAGGGTGTAGGTGGGGGGGGGGTTCTGTGAAGAAGGGGCTATGTGACGGGGGATCGGAGCGACCGGATTAACGAGCATGAATAAGCGCAATTCACAATAACTACGTCTTACGGGGAAGTAGTGGTCGCTAATGCGATATTCTAACCAATTATGTACGTAGATCGTCCATTGCGAACGTGGAATCATCTTGAATGACTATTTCACATTTCAAGAAGTCACCTTTATGATGTCACAAGATGCGATTTTGACGCTCCAAAGGTGAGGACGTTGAAAACATACTTTCGCACACCTCCAAGTCGCTTAGTTCCCAAATTCAACTTTGGGAAGGCACCGCAAGCTAGTTGCCGAACTCTGTCACGTGAGCTGACTCGACCAACTTACTTGAAGTAAACAAGATTGGGACCCCATGGAAGCCGAGTTTAACAATACTCATCTGTGGATATCTTCAAGAAACCACAAACAATCGCATATTTCTATCTCACATCCCCAGGATGTCTGGTCTGGTGCATATTACAGAATCTCCAGGACGGCTATTTAATACTACTTAACTGATTTAATCAACTACAATAAAGGGATGTTAAAGAGGTGACTAATAATAGAACGACCGTCTCGGGTAAACACGAACAATGAGTTAGTAGTTAAATCGCCGCTTGACCGGTACAGAACCTACACAGACACTTCAGCACTGGTGCTGAATTTTGTGTAATCAGGACAGATTCAAAATTACGAGTTGGACTAACTGAAACTCTTGATGGTCTCTTCAGCTAGAGCAACTATCTGAAATGCCTTTCGCGACGACGAAAACTTTCCCAAATTGTAGTAAAGGTCAGTACTCTTACAGGTTTTCCGTGTGCACGCATTTATGGATGTATTTCACTTGCTCAACTATGTGGTCCGGTAATTTACCTCACAAAAATACTAATACCATGGTTTTCCACGGTCCTGGTGATCTAAGTCGCAGATGGTGATCACGTAAACCACCAGAAATCGGATGACTCACTGTAAGGCAAATGTGTTCACGCACGATAACATGTGAGTCGAAATTCATGCAAATCAGCTGTCAAAACGCCACTAATCACTCTGTAGGAAGACTGATCCCAAATGGCCGGCTAACCGGGCGGCTTTGCCCTGGTGATTTTACTGCTTTCAATCACCGTCCTGCATCTGAAAAATTGCAAGAATTTGAGTGGTTGAAATGTTCAGAATGAATTGAGTTTTATTTTGCAACGAAAAATCACTTTTAGGCGTAATTTTACACCTCTGATTTTTAACCACGACTGATATCTACAAACAGCCTGGATTAGTCCTTGGTTTTGCCTTGTGAAAGCTCCAGGGTGGTTTGACAACCGCATCAAGGCCGATTGACACGGTCAGACTAGGAAAGAGGGTGAGGTCTGCAGATAACGCGACGCTCAATCGATTTACTGATATAGTAAGGGCGTGGTTTTACATAATGATAAGTCGTCAGTTTATATAGGATTAATCAATATCGATCACGGAACGAACCTCCCAGCGTGAAGTGCATTCAAATAAATCGATTGATTTGTGTTCGATCACTCTTGCTAACTGTGTTTGCTCGCTCATACCCACAAACTAAAGCAAATGAAGTCATGGCTATGCGGCTGCAATTTCAGCTAAGTTGGAAATCTCAGATTCGTTGAAGGAATCAACCCAATTTTGCTGAGAATAAATGGGGCTGAATTTCAGTCCTCGCAGATGACATCTGATAGGCTGGTGGATTTCTGAGCCTACTGAACGTTGCATAGCAACTTTGAAAAAAAATACCTCAGGATGACATTTCAACCAAATAAGTGTTTTCTCACAACGAATCGACTAAGGCACTGAGAGCTCGCGCAGTAGGGAACTGTAAGGCATTTGCAAGAGTTCCGTCAGCATGGCAGTTCACTAGTAAAAATTCCTACGTGTCATGTGCTGACTAAGTCAACATTTTAATGCCACTTGAGCTGCTTGCACAGAGATTGGTTGAAAGCGCTCACAAAAGAGCACACATGCGCACTAACTGGTATTATAGTTGCCAGTTTAGTTGTCGAAGCGTGTAAGCAAGATGGGATCGTTATTATCTAAACAATCGCCAAGCCAAGGACCCCAAACTGAGGGTCGAGAGACCGCCTTCCAGCAGTTCACCAATTCAATTAGACGTTCCATTCGTGTCAAGCGCCAGACACCCTCGCATGCAACGCCCCACGCTCCATCAGAACAGACGGACAAATGTCCGACGGAATTGCAAAAACCAGGTGCCCGCGTGCGCTCCACCATTCCGGAGAGTTTCCGCCAATCTGGCAGTGCAGATGCGACTCCTGCCCCGGCAAGTGCATCGTCTCCTGTGCGCGAAGTCCAGCCTCCCCCGGCCACGACCCCTCAGACTCGGAGTTCAGCCGTAGTAGAAGACAAGCCGAAGAGTCCAACTGTGCAAACTCCAAGCAAGGAGACCAAGCCGGAATCAGAAGAACATTTGGACACTAACAAAGCCATGGCTGTCCTTAAGGAAGCTATCACTGTCAGGTCGGAGAACCAGAACCAGAGAAAGAGCTCGTCCTCCTCTCTTTCCAACGACGAGGCAACAAAACCAGCAGTCGAAGGACATCCCACTGAATCCAAATGCACACCGAAAGACGAGTCCGAGGATGTGAAGACAGCCTCCACCGAGGGTGAGGGCATTAAACATGTTGAGAACATCCTGGGGAAACTAGCCACAGACGACAAAGAGGAGGATTCGTCGTCGGAGTCTGAAAAGGCCCAGAAACCAGCGATTAGTTTAATGGCAGCCTTGGAAAAACGAAAGAACGCAGCCAAATCCGATTCTCCGACCTCCTCGCCATCCATATCTCCTGGAGTCAGCAATGTCTTAGAAAGCATCGCGTCGGTCTCCACGACTGCCAAGTCACAAGAAGCCGTCAGTTTTATGTCGACGCTGGTTGCCCCACAACAACACTCAAACGGGGAGGAAGCGGACTAGCGCCCACATCACTAAGTACCGCTAAAAAGCGTATTTTAAAATCATGATTTGCCCGTATTTTTTCCAGCTGAACGGTATCACTTTAGCCAAATACATCTCCCCACTCCAACAATACTCGTGATTCTTTTATTTAACCTGCCATAATGGTCTGCGTAATTATCTCTTCCCATCCTCCGACTGGTTCCTGCGACTCCTGTGTGCAAATGCCATCATCCCGGTAGATAAATTCCACTTGTTTATTGCATGTGAATTCACCTGAACCATCTTTTTCTTGCAATTCTACGGATGACTGCCTTCACACCTGTTCTAGCATTGAGGTTGATTTGCTTTCATATTGATTTGACCTTGAGAATGCGTTTAAATGCATTAAAAACAACCCTGGTTGGTGAACACATTACTTCTACAAGCGTGCCACGTTGTGTGATTCCTATATTACAAGACTAAGTTGCAATCATAGCCTCCTGGCTTCAGCCAATAGCGCCAGAATTTGGCGTAGGCAGAACAGGCTGCACTAGGGGAAGTTTTTAACTGCCTGTAACCGATGGTGTCTTTTCAGGCACCATTTGTCTTAGTGACAGGCTGAAAAATGGGGCCCATCAAGTTAGGTTATTCATTAAAAGTCAACCGTCAAATCTGCATTCGAATCCAGGTAGCCTCAATTTGATTGTGGCTGGTGATTTCTTAATGTTGCCATGGAAATACACGACACGAAACGCCCAAGACTGAAATGAGACGGGGTAAGAGAGAGACACGACTGCTTGTTAGATGTCTCGACCAACTTGTCTGCAGGGCCACTGGGCATAAAATGGTCATGTCTGGGCGAACTCGCAAAAGTACAGACGAGTGAATGGCCAGATGAATGGAATGAGTAGCATGGGAGGCGCATGGATAGAAGGTCCAGCATGGTCGATATGGGGTCATTCGACGAAGACGATTCACTATCAACCTCTTCTCAGAAGCGAAATTTGTGTTTTTTATGCTGCCAAAGAGGCATGTTCAAAACCGCATCTGGATTCCTCCAAGCGATATTTTAACAGGCTCACGCCTGTTTGCGTAGTGAGTGGTAAAGTCGTGCATTAACTCGTGTATGTGTGTGGCATGAAAGTGGAATAAACCCATTCAAGCCGAAGTCGAGTGTTGCTTAAAACGGAACCACCTACTTGGCACAAAGAAAATCCACGCATAAGTCAATAGTTAGCAGGAAGTGAGGGCGCTGAATTATCGCTGGGTCCAGTGTGCGTGGACCCCAGGTGGTAGTCATGAATTATGAAGGTTCACCACAGGTTAGTCTTCTTGAAAGTAGAGCCGAGTCTACCGTAGCATTCCTCTGCATCAACGATTTCTTAATTGTTGGTGGTTCACTCTGAGAGGGGAGTAAATTTTTGGAGTTTCTTTTATTTGACGGTCGCCAGTAATCCAACTCGGTTCCTACATCCACTTTTGTCTTCTTGTGCAATTATTCTTATTTACTTGAAAAAAAGGCCAGGTTTTTCTCGTGACTTCCAGTCCTCCCTTTTACTAAAGTGTGCTTATAGAAGCTCAGGTTGGTTTATTTTATCTGGACCTGTGTAAACCCACTTTTTGAGTAGTCCTACCTCTGTTGAGGTCTCTGGTATGTTGTCTTGAACCACGCCGGGGCCAACGATCTCCACAGGCATGACCCGACCGAAAGAAGGGGAGAAATGCAGATGGCTTGCAGCCCAACTTATTTATTGATGCAGTAATGGTGTTTGGGTGTGTGTGCGTACAACAACGCAAGTCAGTTTATATAGGATCGGCTAAACATCGATCCCTGAACGAACACAGCTACGTGAAGTGCATTCACGTAGACCAATTGAATCATGTTCGCTCACGCTTGCTGTGTCCGCTTGCTGCTCGCCACACCTCCATGCGTAACCTTCATCCGCAGAGCAAAGCATAAATCTCTGCACTTCACATACTACTGATTGGCTGATCGCAAGCTCAGTGTACGAACAGAGGGTTTGCGGTAAAAACATGCTGAAAGTTCAGAAAACGGAAACACGATAAAACAATAAAGGAATAACTTCTCCAATGACCATGGGTCACTCATGACCTGACTCACACCCAGGTTATTCTTGCTCTTCACCACACCACACGGACACGTCGGGATCATCGAGTGAATGGACGATTGTGCGGGTGTGTGCGTGTGTCATTGCTCATCCTCGACCTCCACTAATTCAAATGCAGTTCTTCCAATTATGCCATGGGGTTGAGACAAGGCATCGGTGTCAGCAGACAGCGACAGCTCCGAATCACAGCGATTCCTGGCAGTCATGCGTGTAAGGGGCTTACTTACTTTGCAGATGTACTCACCACAGACAACTTCGTTTTAATTCCCCTTAGTCTAACCAAAATGCCTACCTACTGAGACCGTCCACTTCGATAATTCTTGCGGATCAAATTTTTAAATCGACGTACACGTCAATTCGCGTGAGTTTTGTCTAGATTCAGTTCCAGCTGTTCAAAGAAAGTTTGACTAATGTGTTGGAGTTTTTCCCTTTAACACGGTGTCCTCCAGAGTTGAAAGGAGACAGGTGCGTCATTGTGGAGAACGAGGGCGCGGGCGGGTAAAATTTGTGATGTGAAAATGTGTGGTGGACGGCCCGCCACCTCACGTAAGTGATGCGTTACAACGGCCCGAGTGTACCAATGACTCACCCCTTCTGTTATTGGCTTCTGTTAGCATTCGCCTGTTACGCACGCGTACTCACCCACACGCTTGGCTGTTGTGACACGAATGGTCGGCCATGTTCTCTGTCGCCTCATGTCTTGTTACGTTTGCCCGTAACAATAGAGGAGACCACTCAAATAAAACGGTACCAGATCCCTTGCTGAAAGCTAGAACCGACCTTCCCAGGCTAATGCCAAAACAAGACCAGAGCTCGAATACAGAGCTTTATTCACGTCAGCCACGTGCAGAGAAGAAATGAAATCGAAAGTGATTCAAGTCATGGTTGACCTTGACTTGATAAAAGCGTAACAAAACAAATGTTAATAAATTAATGTAAATAGAATTAGAAACCAATCTTGGGGAATCTTGGATCCCCAACATGTCTTCCCTCTTCTCGGGTTGTAACGGGCTGTTAACTAGAGGGTTGCAATGCCTACTACAAATGCCCTGGTGGCTAGTGTAATTAATTTTCCAGCTTAAAGTGGGAATCCGCCTGCTTTAATTTGTGTGTTATTCTTGATACTTTCCAATTAACAATTTAACGCAGGTTTTGCGCTTTCATGAGAAATCTGCTCATTCGTATAATACTTCGAAACGGAAAAAGGCACCAATGTAAAAATGGCGAAAAACTCCCAAACTTGTGAGTCATTACGTTTTCTTCTTACGGACACTAAGCGGGCTTCACCTTGATGGAAGTGCACAAAAACTAGCTCCAAGCTCGAGTCCAACTCGTTGAAATATCACAAAGCACTTGTCAATGTTTGCGTTATTGCGTTCAAAGCGCTACACGCCATGCTGTTTTGCATTTGAGCACTGTCTGTTTCTACTTCAAAAGTGCAGGTTCCATCAGCCTCGGCACTTCAGGTAGCCCGGGAAGGCCCCAGACCGCAATTAATGCCAGCTTGTCTTCCATTGAAGGTGTTGTCTTAATCACTCCCTTGAATTTATTGTAAAGCCTGTGTGCAACAGTGAACCCTTCAAAACATTTAGCTTTACCAAATCTCGGTCGTACGCTGCTGGAAGGTGTTAAGGATGCGCGTCTTAAGAATTCGCCTCTAGAATTCATCTTGAGGCAAAATATGGCTTCAGAGTGAATTCGATTTAAAGCTGTATGGCACAGCACACAATTAACTTCCTGTGATTTGAATTCACCACTCTGGCATTAAATGGGACCCCACCTACACTGATTTAATTCTAACGTCAACGCCAATCACATCAGCCTGGGTGCATTGGTCCCCACAGTGCTAAGATGACTAAGTGGTCATCAGCCTGCTGCAGTATTCACACGTAGCGCACTTATAAAGGCACCTGCGTCCAACCACGATTCTACCACATTTGTGTGCACATTGATCTCGCGCACGCCGCGTGTCCACTGGCCACGTCATTTTGATTGGTTCATCGCATTCCACATGCGTTTAGCCTTAGGGCTCTCGGTTAGTTGACTTATTCAATCTTTCTCCCCACCGAATTGGGGACTGAAGTATTCTGTTTTGTTTAATCACTTTCATGGGCCTAACACAATAACCACACAAGTGCAACAGCACTTTTCCAAGTGAAGCCGACGTGAAATAAACTGGACACATGAGTCAGGCAATAGCGTGAAGACTATGGATGGTGTAGATAAATCCGTTGATTGTGCCGTTTTTCTGTCGCAGATAGTGGTACCTTGCGAACGTAAATCGGTGAGTAGAATTCAGCCAATAGGAATGAGAGCACGTGATACAGAACTGTAACTAGGACGCCTAAGAATAACAAACTACAGCTAATGTGAGGTTAATCGTAAAAGCATGAGCAATGAGAAGACGACACTGGTTGCGCTTCATCGACTTTTTGATTCACGAGTTTAATGGTGTGTGTGTGCCTGTGTCGCGGATTATGTGTTTTCTTCTTTGCTGTGTGTGTGAGTCACCACGGCAGCAACAATTTACCCCACCAGTTTGTTTTAGCTGCACTCGCGGGATCCGCCTGTGCTGCATGAAGACCTCAAGCAATGTGAGTTTATTGAAACTAAAGACCGTTCATTTTTCAAATGTGCCTCGTTAAAACAAAACAAAAAATGGGGGATTGGCCGGTGTGACTGTGTCAAGGTGTTCGAACCTTCTATTCGCACATCTGCGCCCCTAATAGTGATCGCCCATTGGCTGAGAACCTGACTGGTAGATCCAACATGGTGACGTCTACCCAAGTCGCAACAATTCACCTTGTCAACTTGATTTAGCACCCGAGGCTACAGTCCTACTGCCAAGAAACCACTACACCGAGATGCCTCAAATTTTGCCACACGCTAAGGGAATTAGCTGAGAGAAAT